TACACGTAGGCGAACTATTTCTTCTTTTAAAATTTGTGAGTGAATGGGAGTTGAATTGCACTCCTTTGTCATGTTTGATTAATGGCCGGCATTGATCTATATAGGTATGTCATACTCGGTGATGGTTGCCAAATGGAGGGAATTTCAAACGAGGCCTGTTCCATTGCTGGGCATTGGGGACTTGGAAAGCTAATTGCTTTCTATGATGACAACCACATCTCCATTGATGGTGATACTGAGATTGCTTTTACTGAGGATGTTGGAGCTCGTTTTGAGGCTCTAGGATGGCATGTTATCTGGGTGAAGAATGGTAACACTGGTTATGATGAGATCCGTGCTGCCATCAAGGAAGCAAAGGCTGTTAAGGACAAGCCCACAATGATCAAGGTTCGACTCTTTTGCTCAGAAAGAATTGATATTACTGAAAAAGTTTGTTCTTTGCTAAACTCCAATGCTTGCAGGTGACAACAACCATCGGGTTTGGCTCACCAAACAAGGCAAACAGTTACAGTGTTCATGGAAGTGCATTGGGAGCTAAGGAAGTCGAGGCAACCCGGAAGAACCTTGGATGGCCCTATGAGCCTTTCCATGTGCCCGATGATGTAAAGAGGTACTACTCCATCATATACAATTCGAACACTAATACGAGCAGAATTACAGTTAAGATAATATGCTGATGATTATTTCTTGCAGCCATTGGAGCCGCCATGTCCCAGAGGGTGCAGCGATTGAAGCTGAGTGGAATTCCAAATTCAGTGAATATGAGAAGAAGTACCCAGAAGAAGCTGCAGAATTGAAGTCCATCATCACTGGTGAACTACCTGCTGGCTGGGAGAAGGCACTTCCTGTGAGTCCTCTCTTATCTATTTCTCTTTCTTGTTTCTTTAGTCCAATTTTATTATTTTCCACTATAGTTTCAATTGCATAAATGTCCAATTTTATCTTTCCAGACATACACTCCTGAGAGCCCGGCTGATGCGACCAGAAACTTGTCTCAACAAAACCTTAATGCCCTTGCTAAGGTTCTCCCTGGTTTCCTTGGTGGCAGTGCTGATCTTGCTTCGTCCAACATGACCCTTTTGAAAAGTTTCGGTGACTTCCAAAAGAACACCCCAGAAGAACGCAATTTAAGATTTGGTGTTCGTGAACACGGTATGGGAGCAATCTGTAATGGCATTGCTCTCCACAGCCCTGGTTTCATTCCCTACTGTGCTACTTTCTTTGTGTTCACCGACTACATGAGAGCAGCCATGAGGATTTCCGCCTTGTCTGAAGCCGGAGTCATTTATGTTATGACCCACGATTCGATTGGTCTCGGAGAAGATGGACCTACCCATCAGCCAATTGAACACTTGGCAAGTTTCCGAGCAATGCCCAACATTTTGATGTTCCGTCCAGCTGATGGCAATGAGACAGCCGGTGCTTACAAGGTGGCTGTCCTCAATAGGAAAAGACCGTCTGTCCTTGCTCTCTCTCGCCAAAAGTTACCCCAGCTTCCCGGAACCTCTATAGAAGGAGCAGCTAAGGGTGGCTACATTATATCAGACAACTCTTCGGGCAAACCAGATGTCATTTTGATCGGTACTGGCTCAGAGTTGGAGATTGCTGCCAAGGCTGCTGAAGAACTCAGAAAGGAAGGGAAAGCTGTAAGAGTTGTCTCCTTTGTATGTTGGGAGCTTTTCGACGACCAACCAGCTGACTACAAGGAAAACGTTCTTCCCTCTGACGTAACAGCTAGGGTAAGTATTGAAGCTGGAACGACTTTTGGATGGGGGAAGATTGTCGGGGCTAAAGGTAAGGCCATTGGAATTGACAAATTCGGTGCCAGTGCCCCTGCTGGTAAAATATACAAGGAGTATGGCATAACAGTTGAGGCCGTCGTAGCAGCAGCTAAAGAAGTTTGCTAGCTAGGTGATATTTATTTCTAGTTTTCGTTACTGGTTGCTGGCAAAACCATGGAACCCGGCTCAGTTCACTGCAACACGAGATTCATATCATAATAAAAGATTTATGTTTTTTTCCAGCTGAGCAGCTTAGTCCATGAAAACGAAAATCCTATATTATGTCGGAAATCTTAATCTTTTCAATGAATTTGGACACAATTAAAACATATCAAGTTTTGTAATGTTATATATATACATGGTTGATTGATACTGAGTTCCTCACTCCCTCCATTCTGTATTTGCACTTGAAATCTTGAATGGTTGATAACAAGTCTATCTGTTTGAGATGATCAGGACAGGTCTTCGATTGATATGGATTTGGTTTTGGTTTTAAGCCATTCAAGTGGTGTGGTTTATCTATAGCTCTTGTGTTCAAGAAATGTAAGGTGTTCCTGAGACAACAAGAAACATGGATTTTAAGGATTTTGGATGGATTGTGTTTGGTTCCTGTTTGTGGTAGTTGAATTTCTGGCTCTCAACCCACCTATCTACATATATTGTCTCCTACTTCCCTGTTTTCCTTTTCTCTTTTCTTTGTGGGAGACTTCTTTGATAGCTATGGTTCCCAGGCATATTCTCCTTTTCTCTCAAGCAGATACTCATTAATATATCCCAACCATCTGCCATTAATGCAAAGTTTCATATTATTGAAGCATTAAGGAGTTGTTAAGTAGGGACCAGAGATGTAGGGAGATGTAGATTATGTCATATCACATAGCATTAATTCTCCTTTTTCATTTTTCTAAGTGGGATCCATAAAAGACTCAACTTGCAGGAGAAAAAACCCATCAAAAAAGTTATCCCCATATTAGTTAAAAATCCATTTGGTGCTTTTTATTCTGCAAAAAAATCATGAAAAAAAACTTTATTGGGATTGCCCTTAAAGCAATCTCAATTGTGATTTTTGCAGACTAAAAACCAAAGGACATGCTTTTTATCAAATGGGAAGGATGAATTTTGGAGAGTTTTTTCTCTTGCAAAGACTTGATTTTTGCAGGAGAAGAAAAAAAAAAAAAGAACGGGGCGAACGGGCGCTTCATTGTGGCCGCCATTTTTTTATATTAATTTTTTTGGACGTTGCTACGCACAGCAACATCCAATTTTTTTTTTTTAGAATTATTTTTATTTAATTTTCTTGTTAAATTTTAAATTTATATACTATAATTTTAATTTGAATTTTATATTTACTAGTAGTTTAACTTTAATTTTATAATTATCATTTCAATTAAATGTAAATATATGTATTTTAATTAATTAATTTTCATTATAATTATAAATTTGAATTTAAAATAAATAAATAAATAATTAAAATATAATATAGTAAAATGGTGGGTCCATAAAAAAAATAAAAAAAATTTGTGATTAATTGATATAGTGAATGATGAGGTGATGTTAGATTCACAAAAACCTGAAGAAAAAAACCTCCAACTAATGAAGATGCTCTTAAATCTCTTAACTAGTTTGGATTAATTTGATCCTTCAAAATGTCGATCTCGGACTAGTGTGCCTATGCTTGGCTTATTGGGTCTCTTAACCAACACATCCATAAAAATGCTGATCCTCCAACCAATATAAGAGCACCATCCATGGTTATTTTGGAGTTCTTAGTACACTATTCAATGACATGGAGGAAAAAGAGTGTATGAGAGAGAAAAATGGAAAGCATTTGCAAATGAAGAGATATTTTAGAAAGTGGGACCACTGAACAAAAAATTCTCCTCTCGCCTAAGTTGCGTGAGTCTCACTACTGCAGCCGGATGCGTGCATGACAATTGTTTTTATATATATATATATATATTTTTAAAAATTAGTTTTTGTTTTTTTTTTTTGTTTTCTTCTCCCTCCCAGATTTTATTTCCTAATCACACTCACAAAAATCCCTCAAAAACCACAAAGGGGATCAACTATTGTGGATGCTCTAATAATTTTGGAATGAGATTCCGAATTTGTTGATGAGACGATGACAGAAATCACTTTTGAGTTTGTCATTGTTTAATGTAGAAGAAGATTTCCATGCGGGTTTTTGCATGATGTAATTGTGGGCTGCCTTTCTACCCCGTACACATAGTAGACATATGATCTATGTCTAGCTCTATCAAAATTCTGTGGGCAAATTATGGCCTGGACCCGTGTCCACAATGAATTATGGACATGGGCCCAAAACGACGTTGTTTTTTTAAAAAAAAAAAACGCGTCATTTAGTTTAAAAAAAAAAAAAAAATTCTGCGTGTTTTTCCTTTTAACGGTGTTTTTTTTTTTTTTTTTGGATTATGAATGTACAGTTATGCCGTTATGAATGTACAGTTATGCAATTATGAAATTATGAACACAGAGCTCTAGCATTATGAACTTACAATTATGAACATATAGTGATAAAATTATGACCATGGAGCTTTAAAATTGTGAATATAGAGCTTCGAAGATTATGAATGTACAGTTATGGAGTTATGAATGTACAGTTATAGAGTTATGAATCTACAGTTATGAGATTATGAATCTACAGTTATGAAATTATGAATGTACAGTTATTGATCGAATTATGAACAAAGAGCTCTGACATTATAAACTTACAATTATGAACATATAGTGATAAAATTATGAACATAGAGCTCTAAAATTGTGAACATAGAGCTCTAAAATTGTGAACATAGAGCTTCAAAAATTATGAATGTACAATTATGGAGTTATGAATGTACAGTTTATGGAGTTATGAATGTACAGTTATTAACATATAGTAATAAAATTGTGAACATATACTCCTATAACGAAACGGTATGAAATTATTATTTTTTTTTTTTTAAAAAAAAAAAAAAGAGGAGATAACAGTAGGCACTGTTACCTGTGGACACGGGTCCAACGCATAACAATTGAATTCTGTGTATTCGATTACTCCAAGTCATGATTATTTGATTTCGATCTTGTGTTTTGGCAGCTTGTTTTCATATTCTAAGTATTCATAGTCACTACTTTCCATTAAGCGCTTTTAATCTACCAGGTGCCTTCTGTGAAACTTGCATTAAACCTTTCAGTTTTTTTCCGGAGGCTAATGAGGTGACATTTGCAAGACAATCAGCTTTTGAAGGAGCTTCGTTCAAGTTGGATTATCTGACAAAACCGTCACTATTTGAGGATTTTGGTTTCACAACAAAAGTTAAGATGACTGACCGTGTAAAGCCACAAGATGAACTGTTTTTGGTTGCCTATCCATATTTTAACGTTAATGGTAACCCCAAACTCTAGAGCATTGTATGTTTATGAATATTTCATGGAACTAACCTTTACGTACAGTACAGAATTACAGATCTTTTGCTGATATATACTTGTCTTTGAAACCCAGAAATGCTTGTGGTTGAAGAGCTTTACAAAGAAGCTGTTGTGAACACTTCCCGGAAACTGATTGTGTTCAATGGAGAGCTCGATCCAATAAGATCTGGATGTATCCTTTTGTACTCAATCATTGATTCCTTTCTTTTATTTTTCATGAAAAGTTTCGTAATTTTTTTCATTACCATGTGTGATTATGTTACAATCATTCTGTTCTTGTCCATAATAACGACTAAGATTATCCCAAATTCTTCTACCCAAAGCTGGCCACGCTTTCCACTAGTCTGCTGCCTCAGATGGAGACCGTATATTACATTCACAACTTTAAAGGACGAAATGGAGGTGTTGCTTCCTTAACCACTCCCAATTTTCCAGAAAAACATAATTGCAGAAAAGTCTAAAATAACACAAAGCAAAAAAAAAAAACTAATCAAGCAATTAAATGTAAAAACAAAATTAAAACACAATGAAAACTAAACGTGGTATGCAATAAAATAAGAGAAAATATGATATGCAAATTTGGGGTGCCTCCCAAGTAGTGCTATTTTTAACGTCGTATGTCCGACGATACTCCAAGTGTTCAAGTCGCCCATGGCTCCTCGAGGCTCAAATTTGCACTAGCCTCTATCAATCACCTTCAAAGTACCTCTTTAACCGTAAATTGCTTTCCATCATTTGATGTAAGAATCACCGCTCCCGATGAATAAGCTTCCACAACCTTGAATGGTCCAGACCATCGTAACTTTAATTTGCCCGGGAAGAGTTTGAGGCCTGAATTGAAAAGAAGGACATCATCTCCCGGTGCAAACTTCCTTCTAAGAATTCTCCGATCATGCCATTTTTTTGTTCTATAAATAACATTTTGAGCCCCATGAGACCATGACATTGGTTTAACGGATGACAAGTAGCTTCACTTAAGACTTGCTTCCAACAGCAGGGTAGGTGGGGGCTGAATTCCTATCATGGACATTGGGAGTATGAATTTGGATTGGACTCCTTATGTGCATAAGTGTACTCTTTAGTTTTAAATCTCGACATTAGATTGTCTCAATTTACCTTCTCATGAATTTGGAGTTAAATAACTTATTTACCTCCTCATTAACCTAATTCAGAACATGTTCATAAAATCCAGAATATAGTCTAACAAAATCATTATCCAAAAAAAAAAAAAAAACATTTTGATCCTTACAATTATGAACAAGGCAAGAATAGTGCAAGACTTTTGGTTGGTCGCATGTGGTGGTCACATGCAGGTAGGACTTATGGGAGTGCAGTGGTTGTAGGCATTCAACTACTACTGTTCACGGAGTTACAAACGTGGGCGGGCCCCACCAACATGCCAAATACAAACGTGGTTTCCTCCACCAAAAGTCCACATTTGGTCAACGCTTATAAAGGAGCCAAAATACAAGTTTATAAAATAATAATAAAATCTTCTCCCAAATAATAATATTCTGCAGCTGTCAAGCTTTGTTTGAACATTGTTCTATTTCTCTAAATATTGTCTATTGAACTGGTGAACTAAGTCCATATGTTAAAATACTTAGTAAAATCTAATTCTATTATTGGATTACATTTGAGAGAGCAGTTAACATGATTATTAAATGCATTAGTAATTTTTTTTTTTTTTAAGAATTTGATAATAGTGTATTAGTGATTGAATTTTTTTTTTTTTTTTGAAAGCAAAAAACGCAAAACTTCATTCATGAATATCTAGAAACAAAACAATAGCAGGAAAAGAGGAAGACACAACATGTCACTCAAAAACGTCAAAAAAGTCAGTCCCGATGGACCTTTGAATCGCACACACCACTTGCTGGACATTCATTATTTCAACCTCCACATCCTCTAGACACGTCTCCTGCAATTAACTAAGGGCCTCCCGAACATCCAACCGCTTCAGCATCACGAGCTGCCAATTAACACACCTCACATCATTACTAGTTTTTTTTTTTTTTTTTTTTTTTTTTTTTTTTTTAAACACACGTTTTTTCGCTGCTTTCTCATATGGAACCTAAGTCTCATATTATCTGCACGTTTACTTCATAAAATGAAAATAAAAAATAAGAATAGAATTTCAAAATGCTTTATACCTAACAAAAAGAATAGAACATCAATCCAATTGCACTGCTTTATTTTAAGAAACTGGAAAATAAGACATAATTAACTATATTTAAGCGTTTAATTGATTCTGATGAGTGATGGCATATGCCTAAATGGTCGAGGTATATGACAATCTGGTTCATGAAATTAACTTAGTCAAACTAATGTTAGAAAGACAATTAAGAGAGCAGTTACGCATAAATGGGATATATTTAAGGTCTGTGAGTTAATAAGTGCATGGGTTTTGTGTTTAATGTGCGTGAGGTTGTGCTTAATGTGCGTGGGTTTTGTACTTAATGTGCGTGAGTTTGTGTTTAATGTGAGACATTTTAAAATCTTAAGTGTGTGAGTTTTGTGCTCAAAGTGCTTTATTTTGTACTTAATGTGCTTGGTTTTTGTACTTAAAATGAGTTATTTGTGTTCTTAAGGTACTTTGTTTGTTGACTTAAGATGCGTGGTGATTTGTGTATTTAAGATGCGTCATGTTAATGATTAAGGTGCGTCCAACTGCACAACCGCACGGGAAGCCATCACCGCACTTGAATCCTTTCATATATATATAGAGAGAGCTGTGAATGAGATCGAAATATCGCATACATTAATCACATACATATAAATAATCTATAGAAAATAAAATTTTTAAAATTACCTTTTGAAACTTGAAGAAGAGTTTGAATATAAACCATATGCAAGTGGCGGAAGTGATGACAAGTGTATGATAGAGAAAAAGATAGCATAAATAAATTTTAGATTAAGGATGGTAAAATAGAAAATAATAAGCTTATTCCCACTCATTCACAGAAATAAGAATAGGCTTATTCTCAAGAATAGTATTGCATTTTAGACTTGTTTCGGAACCAAATTAAATTTGCCGTAAATGATAATCTTACAATTAAGAAAAATCAATCATGCAGCTTCAATCAGGCTATCATCGCAACAATTACATCATCCCATCAATCATGCGACTAATCATCACTTTCCAAAAATAAATTTTCCCATTTCTCAATTATTGTTGAATTACCATACATATCACCTCCTATTGAGCGTTCCTAGTGAGCGTATAACCATTAATGTGCAATTCAACTATCAACTTAGACTTTTAGTTGAGATGGAGCACATGTTTCAATTCGCACATATGAGGATTTCTACGTCACCTAGCGACTACAAATACAGAACCCACCGCACACGTGAGGGGGTGTGTTGAGCGTATAACCATTCTGGTCAAAGACAATGAAGACATGAACATCTAGATCGATCAACACCCTAGCTTCATCAATTTTTCATTACTCAAGCCATTTAACTCATATTTGAAAACTTCAATTTCTTGATGTGTAAATAATACAACTCACTACTAAAATCCCACTTTGTTTTTAGAACGATAACTAACCAATAATCCTTAAAAAGAGTATATGAGACATCTTTAATCCCGTACCATACTCAGACTAATCCATATTCGCACCGGACCGGCTCAATTAAGGGACAAAGTGCTAGTCAGTTTGATTTTTCCATACGAGAGTGGGTTTGAACTCCCGACCTCTCTTAAAGGATGAGAATGCACGAGCATTCACGCCAACCAAGCTGGTTATTTTTATCGAATTGTAAATGTCCATTGATTTGAATTTAAAATTAATAACAAGTTCACATGATGTGGATGTTGGATGATAAATATAATGAAAATCATAGTACTAAACAGTATAGTTTTAAAAGACGAATTAAATGGTCAAAAGTCATGTAGTTAAACGGTGTAATTGTGATTTTTCAAATGAGATGTCTCAGGTTTGAATCTCAGTGTTGGAGCATTGATTTTTTTTGTTTCAGTAGATTCTGAAATTAACGTAATATGAAACTAATTATTATTTTCTATTGTCTTTGGTCATGTACTTTTAATTTACTATATATAATGTCTTACCACCACTATAGTTCACTATTATTGTCACTTACTCAACATTTATATAATTATATTAAAAAAAAATGATTCGATTTGAAATGATCTTAAAAATTAACAATCCCATATATACCAAATCTTTCTTTTAAAATTGGCTCATACATTTATAAAATTTTCGTTATTTTAAAACTCTTAACTAATGTTAGTCACAAAGTAGGTGAACATTGGTGTAAAAATATCTTATAAAAAAATGTTATCTTAAATAAACTTTGTATGACGAAAATAGTGTATTGACAAATGACAATTGTGTTCTGGCCAACCAAAGTTGAAACCGGACAGCAACATGCGACAATCAATATGGGAGGGTTGGTTTACGTACTTTTCATGTTCACGCACTATGCTTCACTCACACTTTTTTTTTTTTTTTTAACAAAATAAATTCGTAATTACTATCTGTACTAATTTAGAAAATTTTGTTCATATATAATAACTTACAAATTATATAAAAAAAATTCAAAAAGAGTTAATTCCATTTATAGTCCTAAATTTATATGTGACAATTCATTTTTAGTTTTTTTTTTTCTCCTTTTTTTTTTTTTTTCAAAATATCACCCGTTGATCGTAGTATTATTGTTGTATACATGACTATTTTTGGTCCTCCATCAACAAAATAAGTTCCATATTTATTGTGACACTTGTATTTTATGGAATGTATTTTGGTCATGCCATTTTTGGTCTTCAATAATGATTTTTTTTAAATAAAAATAAAAAAAATAGCAGGTCAACCCACTTTGTATAAAAATGATCAAAATTAATGTTCTTATATTTTGCAACATTTCAACGATTTTGTTGACGGTTGACATAAAATGATCATGTTATAATAATACTAGCTAGGACCAAATGGATATATTCTGAAAAAGAATGACTAAAAGTGAATTCAAATCTATAAATCTAGAATAAAAAAATTAAATTAATTATGTAAAAAAAAATTATGTGTAATAAACTCCATTGAAAAACTATTATAGAGAATCCGCCATTCACTCTCCCCGTTTTGTCCTTTGATGTGATACTTCAAATTTTATGTGAACCTACGCCAACTCTATTCTTCTGTGCTGAATTGGGAAAAAATAAAATATATGTCATACATCAAACCAGGTAATAATTGGCAATTCGTGTAAATTGTATTTTTTTTTTAAATTTCAAATTTACGATAGAAACCTTTTTTTTTTTTTTTAATTAAATATATATGCTAAACTTTATTATTTATACTAGTTTGAGAGCATATATAACATTAACCTTGAGTATTCTGTATATATTAGAGGAAAGAATATCATCAAGAGAAAAATCATTAAAAAAAAGTAAAGCAAAAAAATCAATGAGCAGGGGTGAAAAAATATTTCAAAATAGGTAAAA